TTATTATTATTATCTGTTTATACTTTTGCTTTTTGTGTGCTAAAACAAACATCCTGTGGCACTCTAGCTTCAGTTTACTTGTTAATGCTGAAGGTTTTGTTGGTACTAAAGGCTCTTCCTGAGTAGTTCTCTGCATGGATACTTTTCACTTAGAATAAAATTCCAATTATTCTGGAATACTTCTTACATTTTAAGCTTATCCCCTACGCAATATCAGATAAACTTTAAATTGTATGCAGAACTGACCTTTAGGATATTTTTTTTTTCTTTCTTTTAAGCTCTCTGATCCGTCTGACTTACCGAAGAATGCTTTCAGAATTTTTTCTATGCTTGTAGAGTTCTTATGTACTGAACATATTGATTATGCATTAGAAACAGGCCTTGCTGGTAAGTATCATATTTTCTGAGCATTTCATCTCATTGGCCATTTTGTGCAGATGATCTTTGCAGGTCCTTGCTCTGCCTTATTGATTTGCCTTGGTCAAAATGTATTGGTGAAATAAAATTTGGTTTGTGTATTTAGGAGTCAGCATTTAATGTATTCCAAAGTGTAACTTCCATTTGGGGAATTGATGCATGGGTGGAAGCATGCTCCTGTGTTCAAAAACATTTGTGTCACAGAAATTTTGGGGCATTAGTAATCCCTACCTCTTTTACCTCTAGTTTTAATAGAGGTAAAACTATTACCTCTTTTAATAGTTCTCTGTGCCATAGCAGGAGAATATTTTTATATTAAGGTTTAGTGTCTTATGTTTTATAAGAATTCCATGCTTGTTTGTATACCTGTGCATTTGAAAGAGTGACAGTAAATAAGAAAACTGCTTGTATTAAAGTTAAAAACCTGACAGTGAGAACCTGTATTTCCTACGTGAAAGCATATAACTCATGTTCTGAAGAAATACTTATATTGGCTGTTCCATTTTGCTTTTAGAAATTTTAAAAGCAAAATATTTCTGTGCTTATGGTTATTACCTGATATAGCTATGAGAAAAATTATATATATGGCACCATGGTAAATTTTTGAAACTCTTAAGCCTGTGATTTAAGCAGTTGTGGAAACATTCTGCATATTTAAAAAATCATCATGATAATTATAAGAACTGCATATAATTACAATCCTAATGAAATCTTCTTCGCTTTAGGCATTCCCTCTTCTGATTCCAAGAACGCAAATCTTTATTTCTTGGATGTTGTCCACCAGGCCAATACTATTTTCCATTTATTTGACAAGCAGTTCAATGATCATCTGATGCCATTGATCAGGTACCTTATTTTGATAATCATTTCCTTTGTGAACAGCCATTTTTGGTGAAGAAAACAATTTTTTGGGGTTTTTTTTTTTCATTCTTCATCTCTGTTAAGAGGAGTTTTCCTTGGAGTGGTTCAGCTTGGTGTTGCGGGAAGGTAAAATGCTGTACTGAGAGGAGGGGAAAAAGAGGAGTTAAAGAAATCAGTGCCTTGGAGAACTAATTGGAGAGAGGGAGCTCTTTGTGTATTTATAGGAAGGAGAGACAAGTTGCTCCTTAGAGCCTTCACTTCTGCATTACAGGCCAGGACTAGAGGGGTTCTGTGGCTGCACCTTGGAGTGAGCTGGCAGTGTTGGGGCTGCTGAGATTCCTGGGGCTGGCTCACAGGCTCTGCAGGAGCAGCCAGACGTGCTCCAAGAGCCACAGGTGAACTACATGAAAACTGGTGTTGTGAGGAGCCACGGGATGGAAACACTCGAGGCAGAGCGCGCTGATGTGCTGTGAATTAACCCGCATGAGAAGTGGGTTTGCTCGCTCACTGGTCAGCAGGCACCGTGCTGCCTAAAGTGTGTGACAGTACTGCTGGTCAGCACTCAGCAAATCCTGCTCGGGGTCAAGTGTCTGCTCAGGCTGCTGTTGCTTTGTTGTTCTGAAGCCAACTAACTCCAGCTAAAGTAGTCCTTTCTGATGGGATGGGAAATCTTCAGAAAATTCTGTTGTAAGTAGCAGACAAATTTGTTTTGATGTTTTGACGCTCTGTCACACGCCCAACCGTTTCTACTGTTGCAGTTCTTCTCCTAAATTATCTGAATGCCTTCAGAAGAAGAAGGATATCATAGAACAAATGGAAGTGAAGCTGGATATGGGCATTGATAGGCAAGTAGAGATTTCAACTTTGTAAATTACTAATTCTTGTAAAACTCCTTCGTGATTATGCTAGTGTTCCTTTTAAGGATGAATTATTTCTGAACACAAATTTGATTTCTAATTTTTTAACCCATAATATGCATTATTGTGCATAGGAAATTTAGATTTTGTTTGTTTAGAGGTTCATATTTTCCATGGCAGATTTCTGACCCATAAATACTTCTGGAAGGATGTTAAAAGATTTTGGTTATGTTGAAAGAGTGCAATAATTCAAGTTTTACTTCACTGTCTCCAACTACTTTTTTCTACTTTAAAGGAAAGAGAAATGATGATTGAAATAGGTTAAAGACTTGCAGGATTTTCATGAAGAGCAAAGTTTGACAAAAATAGGTTAGATGATTTGCTTGAGTCTATGCAGTGCTATGGATTAGACCTAGTCACAGAAGTCTGTAGACCTGGAATAATTTTGATTCTGACATTGACTTGCTTTGAGGTTGAGAGTGACTCATTTAATCTTTTTTTTTTTTCTTCTTTTCCTATTTCTCCAAATAACAATGAGGGGATAGCTATAAAAATTGTAAATTAAAATCATAGCTGTTTTGTAGCAGAGGAAAATAACAAAATAACAGGCTTAATATTAGGACATGGAGCTGTTGTGGGATGCCCTGCTTTGGTCTGGGGAGCATATAGTGTTCCCATATTTCAAGGTGGCATTAGTCAACCTAGAACATGTTACTTAAGCTTTTTGTGCCTGTTTTCTCTCTGCAGTAATGAAAATAAGCCATCCTGTGGGTAATGAGGGCTACTCTGGAAGTTACTGAGGTTTTTATAAGGATCACACCATACTGGAGAGGGATGAGAAGAGCATTGTCTAGGAAAAACTGGCGTTGCATTTGTGTCCTACTGGGTACTTTGTGCAGAGAGATGTGGAAGAGATTTGATATGTTATTTGCACCTGTGTTTTCTGCAGGTGCAAAAAGAAAGGTGGAGATAGAGAATGTGTAAGTGGCAACTGAGGTTTTTAGCTGCTCCTGTTGGAAGTGACCTTAGGGGTTTAAACACAAAGTTTGAAATAGTTCAACCGTTGAGGCCATAAGCTTAGATCAGGCACAGGTGGGCCATCAGTGTTACAATAGTTTGTAACTGTTTCTGTAAAATAATTAATCTCTTAAAAGTGATAGTAGGATTTGGGAAAAAAAGTCCCTTTTTGAAAATGGTACATTCAAAGGTTTGTGGATGGAGAGTTCAAAAACATTTGTGCTTTGGCAGATATAAGAGAGAGATTAATCTGGAGATGAATGTTACATGTAAAATGCTTGTGTGCCTGCTTACGTGCTGCTTTGTGGTGCCACTGATGCTGTTGAGAATTGATTGTCTTGCTTAAAGGAATGATCTGGTTTAAAAAATAAAAGCAGATTTCTAAATTTAGTTGATGGTTTCAACATTATCCAATCTGAAAAAGTCCAATAGCAGCTTCTGGAATGACATAGCAATTGTCTACCTCTGTAAAAGTGATTTATTAGCCAAACAAAATTAGTTCAACTGCTTTTCTTTCAGTATGTATTCTGTGTAAACTGCCTTCTGGGAGTATTTATTGAAAGTGGAAATTGAGGAGAATGAAAGTTATAATTTCTTTAAATTTCTACTGAAATGCAAGTCTGAGCAATATGCATGGAAAAGAAGTTTATTCTCTCTTTGGAGATAGATATAGATATAGATATATATATATATCTATTTTCTTCTCCCTTCACCCCAGCTTGAATCCTTCAAGGCCTGTAATGGCCTTGACTGCATTTTCATTAGTTGGTGGGGGGTGGTGAAGAAAAGGGGAGAAGAAAGGAAAAAAGAGAGACAGAGAGAGGTTCTTGGCAAAGGTAGGCACTGAGAGGGGTGTGCAGCCTCTCTCGGCTGCTTTGCTGTTGGACTTGAAGTAAACCAGGGTCTTGACCTTAGATAATGTTCTGAAAAGATAAATCCTGTGAGGAAGAAATAAATTACACTATAAAACTCTATTAGATTTCTGAAAACAAAAGAAATACCAAGCTCTGGCAAAGGAAGAGGTTTTTCTTTTCTCCCC